AAAAAAAAAAAAAAAAAAGAAAAAAAAAGAAAAAAAGAAAAGCCCTGGTTTTAGTTACAGAGTGCTTTGGTCATGGTTCCAGCCCCTGACACTGGGTACAGGCTTTTGTTGCCAGCTGCAGGAGACCATTTCGCTGGGCACCCGGCGAGCCGAGCGGGTCGCTGCGATTCACCACGGGGACGGCTGTTGCGAGCATCGCCCTATTACACCACACATCTTCTCCGAATTTAATTTATAGCAAAACGTGCGCTGCATCAACGCAGGCAGTAACCTCCACAGGCTCGGTGCTGCTGAGCCGCTCCGCAGGCTGCGACGTGCCCGGGCGGGCGCTGACCGCGTTGCTGGCGCTCTCGCCCCGCGCAGCGCCCCAGCCTGCCGTCCCCTTGCCACCAAGGCCACCCCACGCGGCCCGGCGGCCACAAGGAGCCCAATGGCCACCCCGAGAGTGTTGGCCATGGGTGGCAGCCCCACGTGGTGCTCGCTTGCCGGGCCCGGCATCCTGTGAGCGGGACGGGGATGGATGGGGCTGCATCCATGCCCTTGGGTTGCCAAAGTGCACGCTCCGTAATTCAGCAACCACCAAGGGCCAGGGCTTCTCCCCCGCTGACAGCGAGCCCTCAAAAGCACTTGAAATGTAAAACCCAACTAGCTGTCTGCCTCCCTTCGGAATTCAGAGCCCACTCTGGCAAGAAGCCTATTAGACCGACTGACAGCGATACACTCAAGGGTAAAGAGAAATGTATTTACTTACACACAATTTGCTTCATTTTTTCCCTTTCGTAAGCAGGAAAAGCATTACAAYGCGCACCTTCTGGCAAATACCTTAAGTGCACACTTCAAAGTCCACCCTAAATTATATCTTTAAAATATCTTGAGAATATATGTCCCTACTTATGTCATTAAATGATAAAACCACACCGGTGAGCACATGCTAAAAGACAAATATATGTATGCACATATGCAGACCGGCATCAAAATGCTTCAGAAATGTGCTGTCATTTTCAGCAGATCAGACACCACAGTGTGGAAAATGAAAAGCTATCCCAGCACTTCCTTGTGCTCAGTACACTGAACAAATTGAAATGTTTATGTGTAAATATCATTTCGTATTATGATAGTGCCAAAAAGTCCCACACAGGCCTGGGGACCTGAAGCCATGTGGGGCATTATGTAAGTAGTGTGAAATGAGATATAGAGTTGACAGGCTAGAATGACATGCTGATGTTTCTAAGTCAATGGAGCTTCTGCCATGGGCTCAGCAGGGCCAGCACTTCATCCCATATATASAATCTTCAACAGTGCAAGCTATACATCCGTTTGCTCAGTGACAGATGAGCAATGCTCATCTGAATCGATGACAGTATCATTTCCTACCAAATTTCATCCAAGCAAAGGGAAATCAATTACCTCAGAAGGTGGCCCATACCTGAGCATGGCAGGGAACACTGGCTGCATTAATGCTAATGCTAAAGACTTAGCTAATAAAATCCCCCAAAGTGGCGTGTTTGTGAAAGTAAGAAGGTGATGATACCATGCAGCCTGTGTCCTCAGCTCCCCTCTGGCCATCTACTAAGTGCAATGCACTCAASGAGGACTCAGGAGAGCACCTCTTGACAGATATCTAAGAGGTCAGAGTTGTTATGACAGGGCATTACTATCAATAGTGATTCACTTTAGTTCATTGGCTTGCAATAAATGTCTTATCTGAGGCACGAAGGAATACACACCAAAAACACTCAATTGAAAAACAATTCCATTTGTAAGGTATTTTTCTCTGGTTCCTTATTCTCACTTACCAAGGACATTTGCATGAAAATAGGATCTTATTCATAAGAGCTCACCTGCTGCCTGCTGTTCTGCAGCCGTAAGCCTTGCTGCTTTGGGCTACTGCAATCATTTCTACAGCAGTGATCTGGGATAWCACAAGGGATTACGGCTCTGCAAACAGGGCACTATCCACAGCCTGCTCAAGTGTCAATGGAAACCCTTACCTGCGACTCAAAAGAATTTTTATAGAGCCTTTGAAGCTTATAAAATCCTGAACCTTCACTATTAGCATTTGCAGAAAAAAAAAAAAAAAGTTTTCTGCTTCCAGGATGCTGATTGTCCCCAAGATCTCCTCAAGAAAAGCCAAGGACTCATGGTGTGGGCAAGGGGCWTCATAGCAATTTTTACTTCTCCATTCCCCAATGGACCACTTGAAGATATAAGTAAGACAAGAGGCTGTACAAACATTTTGATCCATATGAACATTTCTTTGAGGAATGGGGGGAAAGCAATAAGAAAGGGAAGAAGAAGGGAGTCCAGAGGTGGGGAACCAGGCAGCACATTGGATGCATGGGCCCTTCTTGGCCGAGCAGCTCTCCCAGGAAGGAATTTTCATCCCTCCTGAAATACGAACAATGCATTAAAAAAATGGTCACTGGCCTAAAACAGGAGTCTCCTAGTGCAATCCCAGGGATTCTCTGTTAGGTGCCTCCCCTTCATACCTCTCACTCAGGCCTTGCCTTGTGTCCTAATCCAACCTCCTCTACAACTYCAGCTGTGTGACATTGCTGCAGCAGCTACAACTTCACCTTTTTTGGGACATAGGGCCAGCATACTATGATGAAGATGATTTATGATAAGGTGATTTCTGCTCAGACAAATATGGTAACCACTCACTCACAGCACTGGAAACTAGGCATCACACTGACCTACCCTTTCTTTTGTTTTTCTCCTTTTTTTAATATATTTTTTCTCTCTCTTAAAAGGGGCTGAACTTGACCAAAAGCTCACAACAGTCATTGATCCTTAAGCACAACTGCCTTCCAAACCAAATGCCTGTGCCAAGGTACTTGCAAAGTGACAGCACCAATCTCACAATCCAAATGACACGAAGATTTGGGAACTTTTTTTTGCAATAGCGTGAATGATGCCTCCTTTCAAATTCTTCATTATGGCTTAAAAGTCTCTAGTTCMGAAGTTTCTCAATCAGACTTTAATTCGCTTCTGGGTCTAGACGGCTCCATCTTTTGGTCAGTCTTCCCTGACAGATAAAAAGCTTTACACTGTCTAATAAATAGATCTTCAGATCAATAAAACCAGACTGAAGAGATCAGGCTTTGACAGACCAAGGGAAAGAAAGAATTACCGG